GAAGCCAAACAAAGAACTCAGGATGCTGGAGATCTGAAGCAAAATCTCAGCAGCTGTAGAGAGAAAGCAGAGTCAACGTTTCCAGTCCAGTGACCCTTCTTCCGAAGGGCCCAGCAATTTCCGTTTTGGTCTAAAATACAGAATCTGCAGCACGACACATGTGGAGTCAGTGATCAACTGCACCTTTACTCTAACAGTAGCTACTGAGCGTGTACACGAAGAGCTCCGTCAATGCTTACGTCAGGACGAGACAGAACCTGAACCTAAGGGTGGAGGTTCCGAAGCTCCCTCCCGCCCTGGCATTTCGAAACTCTCCACACGAGCGTCGGCAGTGCAGGCCCAATCAACAGGCGCGCGTCAGAAAGCTTCCCGATCGAATCACGGAATCACCCGGTACAGAGGAGGCCTTTGGGCTCATCGAGTGTGCACTGACAAAGCTACCCTAAGTCTACGCTAGTCCCACTTTCCAGCACTTGGTCCATAGTCATGAACGTTATGACACTTCAAGTGCTCATCCAAGTATCTTTTCGAGGTTGTGAGATTTTCCGCCTCGCTACCGTCGCAGGCAGTGTATTCCAGACCCCCACCACCCTCTGAGGAACAGCTGCTTTCTATCATACGGACCGTAAGACCATAAGCTATAGGAGCAGAATTAGGCCATTCAGCCCATGCTTCATGCTCCGCCATTCAATCATGGCTCATTTGTTTCTCAACTCCGCTCTCCTGCCCTCTCCCTGTAACCCTCGATCCCTTTACTAATCAGGAACCTATCTATCTCGGTCTTAAATACACTCGGTGACTTGGCCTCCACGGCCCCCTGCGGCGATGAGTTTTCTCTGCCTGAAGAAATTCCACCTCACCTCAGTCTACAGGGTTGGCCCTTCACCCTGAGGCTGTGTTCCAAGGTCCTACTTATCTTGTCCACATCCACTCTGTCCAGGCCTCTCAGTATTTTGTACGTTTCAATCGAATTCCCCCCTCATCCTTCTAAACTCCATCGAGTACACACCCAGAATCCTCGACCGCTTCCCCCGTGACAAGCCCTTCGTCCTCGGGATCATTCTCGTAAACCCCCTCCGGACCCCCTCCAACACCAGCACGTTCTTGCTTCGATACGGGGCCTGGTGTTCTTACAGCCAGAGAAGTCGGGTTCCAAAACTCACAAAGAAATGGCAGGAGTTACGCAGAACCATTTTTCACCAAAACCACGGGTGAGTGCTGAAAGGCTCAGATTCCACAAACACAACCGGCACCAGATGGTGAATCTCTCTGTCCGTTCACAGCAGTTTTATAAACGGGAGCGGAGTGCTGCAATTTCCGTCACCACTCCGACGTGAAACCATGCCATCAGAGTCGGACCGGCGTGTGGTCGAAGAGGTGAAGCGATCCGGAAGCGATTACCGACGGAAAGAAAACTATGCTTAAACAAAGTGCTGGAAATGGCAACCGCGATGGAACTCGCAGTCGAGGAAACTCAACACCTCACGAAACGATGGCTGAGAGCTCACGAAACGGTGGCCCAGGAACAAGCACCGACGCAGACACAAAACTGCCAGTGGTGTGGAAAAACGTGTCC